CCCAAGGCCCTTTACACACAGCAGTGACCCCCCGCCCCCCAGGACAGGGTTTCTCTGTGGCTTTGGAGCCTCATGGAACTTGCTCTGTAGACCTGCTGACCTCAAACTCACAGAGATCCACCTGTCTCTGCCTCCCGAGTGCTGGGATTTAACCGCCTGGCCTGTTTTTTTGTTTTATTGAGACAGAGTTTCATGTATCTTAAACTGGCCTAGAACTAAGTAGCTGAGGAAGACATTGAATTTTTAATACTCCTGCCTCCACCTCACTAGTTATAGGCACATACTACCACATCTGGTTCTATCCAGTGATAGACACTGAGCCAAGGGCTTTCTGTATGCTTCGGGAACAATCTTCCAACTGAGTCACATCTTGGATTGTCTTTTTTTTAAATTTGTTATAGGTGTGTGTGTATGTGTGAGTGTGCCTGTGTGCGTGCGTGCGTGCATGCGTGCGTGCGTGCGTGCGTCCGTGCGTGCGTGCGTGCGGAGGCCAGAGACATCACTCTTTCTGCCTTTATGTAGATTCCAGGGATTAGACTCAGGTTGCTAGGCTTTCATGACAAGGGCCTTTAGCCACTAAGCCAGTGTTTCTCAATCTGTGGGTTGAGACCCCTTTTGGGGATCAAAGGACCCTTTCACAGGGGTGGCCTAAGACCATCAGAAAACCCAGATATTTACATTTCAATTCATAACAGTAGTAAAATTACAGTTAGGAAGTAGCAATGAGATAATTTTATGGTTGGGGTCACCACCCCATGAGGGACTGTGTTAAAGGGTCACAGCATTAGGAAGGTTGAGAACCACTGCTCTAACCCATCAAGAAGGCCTGATCTTTTTCTTTCTTTTTTTTTAAACAACAGTCTCACTATGTAGTCCAGGTTGGCTTCAAATTCTCAGCCCTCCTGCTTCATGTCCCCTAGGGCTTGGATCATGGGACTGCACCCCTGCAGTTCTTGCCTGGCATTCGTGAGCACTAAGGGGTCTGTGACCCCCTGACTTGAAAGCAAATACGTAATCAGTATTCAGTTTTAGAAGAAATTCATTCAGTGCTTTGGTGGAAAACTGCTCTGGTTAGAGTAGCGGTAGTAGTACATAACAATTCGGGTAGGTTAGTCTAGCAAGTGATGAGCCGGGTCAGGCTCTCTGGGCTTACAGCCTGGCTTTCTCATTCTCAATGCACTGTGAGATAGCACTGTTAACAAAGTAACACAGGAGGAGGTATTAGGAACTACATACTTGCTTAGCTGCCTTTCCGAGAACTTCTCCAGGGCTGTCTCCAAAGCTCTGTTCCATTGTGTGGCTCTCAGGAAAGCTTGCTAGCCCCACAGCCCCTTTCCAAAGCCTTGTGTTTGTAGTGTTTTACACAGTGGGGTATTTGACCTTTACCTTACAGTGCCCCCTCCCGGAGGGTAGAGTCATGACCTCCTCATTAGTATCAGATATGCTGAGCATTTCCGTGACTGGCCCAAGGTTACACAGCTGGAAATACAGAACCCAGGAAAACTCCAGTGCCTGACCTAGGCTCTAAAGTCATCCAAGGGTGAGATGAATTGTGACATATGGCCAGCCTATTAAGCAATGTCTCATTTGAAGAAGCTGTCCAAATTTGGACTCCATGTCACACACCTGTAATCCTAGCACGTGTGAGGCCAAGGTCAGAGGGTTGCAAGTTCCAGAGCAGCCTCAGCCATTCTTGAAAAACCCACCCAGACTCAAGCAGGAGGACCCCGGTGGTGTCCAGTTCTGGAATCAAGCTGGTGCTGGACCCATCACTGATGTGCTTTTGACCTCCAGTATTGTCCCATTTTCTAAGACTCGGTTCCCTGTCCTTAAGACAGGAAGAAGGGACAAGCTCTTAAACTAACGACTCCAAGACACAGTAGGCTCTCACTAAGGGGTAAATTATCCCTCTAGGCAGCTTCATAGTTTCTTCAGGCTAGGCCAGGGTTACATTGGTCAAGGAGTCATTGCCACCCCACCCCTGTGACAGGGAGGTGGGGGGGACAGACAGACGGACACTCACAACATGACACACCGAAGAGAGGACTCTGCCACTTCTCTCTGCAGAACTTACTTCCCATTTTCCTGTGGATGGATGAACCAACTGTCAGCTGCGGTTACAAAATGGTGAGGTGTGCAGGGCTGCTGGGTGGAGGGCCCACAGGGACCTGACACTGCCCTTCTCCTTTGTCCCTCTCTTCATTGGATGCCATCCCCATTCCTCCCCCCCAGGGTCATCATGAGGAAAAGTCTGATCCAACACTTGCAGGACCGAGGGGTGCAGGTGAGGACTCGACCACTACCCTAGCAAGGAGCTGGTTGCCAGTATATTCCTGGTAGCACAGTTTCCATCATTCTGCACTACAGAGGTGCATTGTTTGAGCAGGATCTCACCCGAGTCTCAGTTTCTTTGCCTATAAAATGCAGCGAATGAGCCAGGCAGTGGTGACGCACACCTTTAATCCCAGCACTGAAAAGGCAGGAGGATCTCTGTGAGTTTGAGGTCAGCCTAGTCTACACAGCAAGTTCCAGAACAGCCACGGCAACACAGAGAAACCCTACCTTGAATTCCTTGTGTCTGTCCCTCCCACCCCCCCCACCCCCCAATTCAGAGAATGCTAGCTATAGCTCTTTTGGCTGTGTACCTGGTATTTAATCAGGGATTGATAAGCATTTGCCACTTTTTTTTGTTTGTTTTGAAATCTAACAGTCCTGACTCATTCTGTAGAGTAGGCTGTCTTTGAACTTACTGAGATCTATCTGCTTCTGCCTCCCCAGTGCTGGGATTACAGGCATGTGCCTCCACTACCCTGGTGGCACTGGTCATACTTGGGGCTCCTGGGAAGGTGCTGGAAAACCAGGCCTAGCCCACCCTGTTGCTCTGCCTTGACCAGTGGTCTATGGGAGCAGTGAAGAAATTTTGGTTTGAGTTTTAGTGGGGTTTTTTGTTCTGTATAATGAGTTATGTGTAGAAAGTGTTTTCTCTGCATATATATGTGGCCTGGTGCTGAGGCCAAAAGATGGTGTCAGATCCCTTAAAGCTGGGGTTACAGGTAGTTTTGAGCTGCCATATGGATACTGGGGTCAAATTTGGCTCCCCTGGGAGAGGAGCAAGTGCTCTTAACTGCTAAGCCATTTCACTGGCCCCCTTTTTTGTTGTTTTGTTTTTGAGGCACGGTCTCATCATATAACTCCTGCTATGTAGACCAAGCTGGCTTCAGACTCACAGACTCTGTCTCTTGAGTGTTGGGATTAAAGGCATGTGCCACTACACCTGGCCATGGTTTTGTTGGTTTGTTTTCATTTTTTTATTGTTTTATTTTATGTGTGTGGGTGTTTTGCATGTGTGCTTGGTACCTAAAGAGGCCAGAAGAGGACATCAGATCCCCTGGAAATGTCATTATAAATGTCTGTGAGCCATCATGTGGGTTCTGAAAAACCAAGCAAGGACCTCTGGAAGAGCAACCAGTGCTCTTTACCACTGAGCTATCTCTCCAGCCCCTGTTTTTTTTTATATAGATCAGGCTAGCCTCAAACTCATAGCCTCTACCTCCCTAATGGGTTGCAGGCATAAAGCACCGTGCCTGGCTTTGGACATTAAATCAGCAAGCCTCATTGAGATGGTTCCACACATTTACCTGGGATGAGAGCTTTCCATCAAACATGGGGGAAAGAAATGAACTTGTCAACTCCACATGGGATGTGATGTCACCACTAAGGACAGGAGCCATGGACAGAGGGAGGTTGAATCAGTCAAGAAGAAGGATGGGGGAAGACAGCACTTAGGGAGAAGGACATCGCAGGAAGGCATCCACAGGACTAAAGCTTAGAGAAGCAAGAGGCTGAGCTCAGGAACTGGGTGTGTTCCCTAGGCTAAGGGCAGTGGAGGTCAGTTAGACCCAGGGGCCTCATGTGTGACAGATCAGGATGCTCAGCACCCAGAGAGGGAAGTTTCTAAAGGTCAGCCCTGGGAAACCCGATCCAGACAAATTCACAGAGTAAGACTCACCACCTGGTCTACAGCATGGTGACCATGTCATGGTGGGACAGAAGGAATGTCATTAAACTTGGGAGACAACAGTGGGGACAGACGGAACCATTAATACAAGAGAGGCCAAGCTTTGGCTACTGCCTGTATCTGGTGTCAGTGAGGGACTAGGAAGAACAGCTTTTCCTTACCTGCCCACTCTCGTCTCTGACCTCCACATGTTTAAAGACGGGACCCTCATCTGTGAAACTAAGACATCCAGAGATCCAGTGAGTTTCCTGGAATAAAAATGCCATGTCAGCCAGGCGCAGGTGTTCACACATATAATACCTGGGAAACAGAGGCAGGAAGACGGTGAGTTCTAGACCAGCTTGGGCTAAGTAAAACTTCCTGACTCAAAAGAACAAAACACAGATAAACAAGGAGGGCAGTACAAAGCTTCAGTGGCTGAAGGCTTGTGCTGTCAAACCTGATGACCTGAGTTTGAGCTGTCCTCTGGCCCACACACTTGGTGTGGTGTGCACCTGCCCCCATATAAATCAACATGATCCAATTTTTAAAAATTAAAAACTAATGGCTGGGGATGTGGCCCAATTGGTAGAGTGTTTGCCTAGTAGCCACAAAGCCCTGGGTTTGGTCACCAGCACCAGGAAAAAAATTAGGTAATTGTGGTGATATCGTGCTTATACAAATAAAGCTTGTCTGAAGATCAGAGGATGGAGCTTGCCACTAGCTAACCATAGAGGTCTGGAGGTCTGTACAGACAGACAGCAAGTGAGATGGCTGGGTGGAGAGAGGATATAAGTGGGAAGAGACAGGAAAGGATATAAGTGGGAAGAGACAGGAACTTGCTCTCAGATTTTCCACTGGGAATCTAATGAGTTAAAAGGTGGCTTTGGCTTGTTCCTTCTTCTCTCTGATCTCTCAGCATTTTCCTCTATATCTGACTCCAGACTTTCATCGTTTAGACCAATTGACGCCATTTACAGGTAAAGGGACTAGCAGATGGCTCATCGGTTGAGAACACACGCAGTTCTTCTAGAGGACGCAGTTTGGTTCCCAGCACCCATAAGCAGCGGTTTACAATCACTTGTAACTCCAGTTCCACAGGATCAGATGCCCCCTTTTGACCTCTGTTGGTACACAGACATATATGCAGACAAAACACTGGTACCTAAAATAAATAAGTAAAACTTTTTAAACATTTAAACAAATGCAGATAAATCATAAAAAGAACAACAACAAAAAACAAAACTAAAACAACAGGCACAGTGGTAACACCTATAACCTGAGCACTTGAGACATGGGAGCGGACGGGTTTGAGGTCATCACCAGCTACATAGACAGTTTGAGGCCAGCTTGGTTACAAGAGACCCTAACAGAGAAAGAGATGAGACTGTAGGGAAGTGTAAAATAAATAGTAATGGGCTGTTTAGTATTTAACTTAAAATATATTACATTTCTCTCTCTCTCTCTCTCTCTCTCTCTCTCTCTCTCTCTCTCTCTCTCTCTCTCTCTCTCTCTGTGTGTGTGTGGGGGGGGGGAGCCCCAGGTCAGTAAGTTACAGGAATCAGTTCTTTTCTCCCACCATGGGGATCCTGTGGATCAGTCTCAGGCCCCCAGGTGCCTTTAGGTGCTGAGTCATTCACTAGGTTGTGTGTTTTGTTTGTTTTGTTTTGCAGTACTGGGGATCAAACCCAGGGCTTGGCACAAGCCAGGCCAGCATTATACCATTAAGCAACATCCGAAGCTCTTGGGTTGTTTGTGACAGGTCTCATTTAGCCCAAGCTGGCCCTTGAACTCCCTATGTAGCAGAGGGTGTCCTTCAACTCCTTTTCCTCCTGTCTCTTGCCTCTCAGTGCTATAAAAACAAACATGCACCACCACACCCGGATTTTACCTATCTTCTCTCTCTCTCTCTCTCTCTCTCTCTCTCTCTCTCTCTCTCTCTTTTTCAGAGACAGGGTTTCTGTGTGTCTCCCTGGCTGACCTGGAACTCAACCCTGTAGACCAGGCTGACCTGGAACTCACAGAGATCCACCTGCCTCAGCCTTCTGAGTGCTGAGACTGTCCTTAACTTTAAGTTCATTTACTTTTGAGGCGGGGTCTTGCTATATAACTCTGGCCAGCCAGCTACTCTGTGTAGCACAGATGACCTCAGATTCTTCCACCCTCTTGCCTCAGCCTTGAAAGTGCAGGGGCTATCGACTTGCACTGTGACACTTGGCTCTAAGATCATACAATTTAAGTTTTGATAAAACCTGTGGGGTTTTTGTCTTGATTTGATTTGTTTTGTTTTTTTTGAGACAGAATTTCTCTGTGTAGCCCTGGCTGTCCTGAAACTCACTCTGTAGACTAGGCTGGCCTCAAACTCAGAGATCTGCCTACCTCTGCCTCCCAGGTGCTGGGATTAAAGGTGAGTGCCACCACTGTCCTTCAGTAATAGCTGTGTTTACTCACCAGTTTGAAAATTCCTAAAAAGGTAAACATCAGCTCCAGCTCACCATTGCTGGGAGGTCTGTGCAGAAGAAGGGGGTGCCACCTCCTGAAGTTAACCTGGAAACTAACCTGGCCCTTCTTTCCTGCTCAGGTGCTATTTTGGTGCCTTAATGAAGAGTCGGATTTTGAAGTGGCCTTCAACCTGGGGGCCAGTGGTGTCATGACAGATTTCCCCACAGCCCTGAGACGCTACCTGGACAAGAAGGAAGAACCAAGGGCCCCTGCCTCCTCAATCTGAGGCCCTGTCCCTCTCTTTCTCTTTAAGAAAAATAAATATTTTCTTGTCAGTAACATAGTTCAGGGATGGAGGAGTTGGAGGGTCAATTCTAGACTATAAAGATGGGGATTTAATTCAGTGATGTCATGCTTGCATACCATGAATGCAACTCTGGGTTTAATGACTATTGGGAAGACACACCACATCTTTGAAGAGATCAAGAAAAGCTGGGATGGCTGGGCGTTGGTGGCACACGCTTTTAATCCCAGCGCTCAGGAGGCAGAGGCAGGTGAATCTCTCTGAGTCAGATGCCAGGGCTACAAAGTGAGAACACCACCCCCACTCCCCAAATTCTGGGAGCCTAATTAGGCTGGCCCACTTGTTCCACTACATTCCAGACCTAGTACAGTGGCACTGCACCCTGTGCCAACTTGGCCTCCACTCTGAAGCATGCTAACCAAGGTGTCCTGGCCCCAGACTCTAGAGATCCATAGATGAGTCGTTTTCCTGAAGCCATCAAGAGAACCAGGCATACAACAAGGGACTTGATTTCTCTTACGTTGATGCTGTTGGTTTCTTTACACACTGGGCTGCAGCAGGCAGGCATGGGTGAGCTCACAGGCTCCCCCACTGTACCAACTGTCCACTTTCTGACCTCCAACACTGGGCCTAACTCATTTAATGAATATTCCCCATACAGTACTTTTCAGACCTTCTGGGTACTGGGACTCTGCAGTGAACACAAGTCTATGCATGCCAGACATATGTTTAAACAGACATTTAACTGGGGTCAGACCTCCAGTAGCCTGGGCCCCGCGCACACCAGAGGATGCCTGGAGCAGATGATGCCCAGCAGTAGAGACTGGCTCCTAAAGCTTTGGTTCCTGGGAGTCTACTAGCAAAACGACACCTTTAGCCTTTCCCTTCTAAGGGTCTGTTCCACGTGTTTGGGAAAAGTGAGAATTCCAACTTTGACTCTTACCATCTGGATAATCTCTGGGGAGGATCTTTTTCTGCAAACCTCAGAACCAGGTCAAATGGAACTACGGGATCGTGGCAGGGTTACCAGACTTGCCAATGGATAAACGAAGACAATTACGACTATCTCTCGGGGGTGTGCATACAGACACCACCTCCTATTAACCCCACGTCAGGTTGGAATCCTTTTCTTTTCGCGCACCGTGGGTAGCTAAGGGCGCAATCAGGCCCGGGCACAGAGTGGCCTCCGGGCTAGGCTGCC